ATACAAACACATTGCATCGGTACTTGAACTTGTTATTTTTTTTTTCTCTCTCTCTCTCTTTTTCTTTTTTATTTTTATGGCATCATTCACAGTTGTAGTTTTATGAAAAAAACAATCGCTAGGAGCACTTGTCAACGGACACAACTACACCCCTTTTTTCCCACGCCTGATAGGTTTAATTAAATGAATTTCGCGTGTCTTTGATGACCATAATTCTGCGAGAACAACATCTAAATTGTGTAAAATGAAGCATTTGTAATTCAAACATTCTATGAAAGACGCGTACATGATACCTTTTGACATACTTAATATCTATCTGGCTTTAATTATTAAAATATATTGTCTACGTCTAATCTTTCATACGAATACATTTCATATTCAAAAGTCCTCCGGTGGAACAGCGGTAAGTCTACAGACATACAGTGCTAAAATCCGGGGTTCGATTCCCCGCAGTAGAACGGTAGATAGCCAAATGTGGCTTTGCTGTAACACAAATATATTCAAAAATTTAATATAACTATTCGTGTTTGATCGTGGTATTTATATTGACTGTTTACTCATATATATATATATATATGTGTGTGTGTGTGTGTGTGTGCTTGAGAGGTATTTTGTTAAAGAATAAGATATTATATTCTCGAAAAAGTGCTTTGGTGCACGAAAGAAGGAGTGTATGGTAACATAGATGTTTTTAGCTTCTTCCGCGTGCAGGATTTGAGACCCCACACGATTGCTCTACCCACTGAGTTTAAGGGTTAACTCACTTATGTGCTGCTAGAATAATACTTTTAACAAGTCAAACTACCACATACACAAGGCCCATCCTCGACCTCTATCTCTAGGTTGAGGGATTACCACGTTGGACGACAGTTTTTTATTGTGGTTAACTTATCTTTTCCTCGGCTTGGTATCGAACCCTCTACCAACTGAGCTATAAGTTTAATACGCTAATAGTTGCTAGTGAAGGTTTAAAAACAGAACAACTCAAACTACCACATACACAAGGCCCATCCTCGACCTCTATCTCTAGGTTGAGGGATTACCACGTTGGACGACAGTTTTTATTGTGGTTAACTTATCTTTTCCTCGGCTTGGTATCGAACCCTCTACCAACTGAGCTATAAGTTTAATATGCTAATAGTTGCTAGTGAAGGTTTAAAAACAGAACAACTCAAACTAGCACAACGATGAAATCCTACTATTTTGTTCAGACAAAAGTAGTTCAAGATTTGGCAGTAGGTGCTATTGACTAGCTATCTTCTCTCTAGCCTATCAATTCTAACTTAAGATGCAGCTTTGCGAAAATAGCGTTTTCTCGAAATTGTAAAATAAATTAAAAAAATGATTAAACTTATCGAATTTGTTTGTTTGTTTTTTTGCGCGTCATGTAAACGTGTATCTGATTTACCTCTTTGTTTGGACTATGACCCAACTTAGAAGTGATTAGTTTTTGGAGGGTCAAAGATTAATGTCACAGCAAGGCCACGAAAATACCCATAATCCCTATCTGTTAACATGAGGATCGTTTTTCACACTATTGTTGATTAAACTTGGTGAACATATGTAGAATATTATTCCTCATTGTCCTCCCAAAAATGGTCTGTGTCCGTTGATAATAACGGACGTACGGACACATTTTCTTATTTTCCGAGGGCCGAATGTGTGATCAACGCTGTTCTTGTTAGATGCAGTCTTTTTTTCACGTGCAACTAGGAACTGATTTTTTTTTTTGGGGGGGGGGGGTTATTTGTTATAATTCTCCGTGGTCTTAAAAAACCCTCGGTCTCTTGATAAAAAATAAAAAGGAAACGCAGGTTGTATGGTGGGGGGAAGTAACAGTTAGGTTATTGGATTTGAGTTGTTATTAACCGTGTTCCTGTTATTAGGTATTATTATCTTTTTTTTTACTATTTCACGATGAAATACCTCTTATTGCAACATTCAAAGCACAAGAGTTGTTTTTATATCGCGAAATATGTGATTCTAGATTTTGATGAAGACATAGCTTATGTGACGTCATTAATCTCGTTTTTTCTCGCGACATTTATTTATCCACAAGGTGGTAGAATTGATTCCCTTCTCTTATTATATCAATCTGTTCATTCTTATTTATTTTTTGCAGCTTATGTTTTTAGATTGGTGATAGAAAAACACGTGGGATATAAAAAAGAGGGTAAATCACATTAAAACAACAACCACAGCAAAAAAAAAGATAAGATCATGCCACTTTTGACAGGCCCACCCGACCATATCAGTAGGTTTTTTGTTTCTTGTGTATGTTGGAGGTCAAGAACCTAAATATTGTTTGCTTGTTGTGAAAAAAACAAAACAAAGATACACAGCGAATTACCCGTGCTCTGCCCATCGCGGGTATCGAAACTCGATTTTTAGCGTTATAAGCCTTCTCATCTACCACTGAGCAACCGGGCGTGGGAGCAAAAATTTGTTTATTTGTTTGTTTAGCGCAAAGCTACACGATTCACGACCAAGGTCTTATACAGCCAAGACTTTATAATGTAATACATATCCAGGTGATGGAGGTGTACCACGACCAAGGTCTTATATAGCCCAGACTTTATGTCATGAAAACGGTATAGTCGCTATATAGTTTCTCGCACTTCACAGAAAGAGTTCCACATCACACGTTGTATTACAGGTTATTCTAAACTGATGTGTTTCGTTTTAACCTTCACTTTGTATTTCGTCATTCTTTTCCAACAAAGTGTTTTACATCTGTTTAGTCCTGGTAGTTAGGGTACTCGTCTCGCAATCTTCAGGTTGCGAGTTCGAATCCCTTCACCGAACTTGTTTGCTCTTTCAACCGTGGGGACGTTATAATGTGACGGTCAATCCCACTATTCGTTTGTAAAAAAAGTAGCCCATGAGTTGGCGGTGGGTGGTGATGACTAGCTGCCTTCCATCTAGTCTAACACTTCTAAATTATATACGGCTAGGACAAATATCCCTCGTATAGTTTTGTACGTACTTCAATAAACAAAACTTTATATATATATATCTACCACCAGGGAGGAAGAGGTTTTCATAGCATCTGACCCTCTCAGGTCGCTACAAACACATCTGTCAAATCAATTTATCACAGATTCAGCATATCTACCACTTAAATTTAAATTGATTTCATTTAAAAAGTTGTATAGTATTTTAATTATTTGTACTTCAGGATGGTTAGGGAGCTTTCAGTTACCGTGGCCATTTGGCTACATACACAGATATATATTGTAAATGACAAGACAAAAATAACCATTAAGAGTTATTTTACAGATTGTGCGTTTCTTGTTAACGAACTTGAAGTTTTCGTTGATTTATTGAGATTATTTCTCTGGTGGTTCAGAAGTAGGATCATGGACTTATAACTCTAAAATCCAATAATATCCAGGTGATGGAGGTGTAGCCAAGACTTTATAAGGTACCAAGGTCTTATATACGTGGTACACCTCCATTACCTGGATATGTATTACCTTATAAAGTCTTGGCTATATAAGACCTTGGCCGTGGTACATCTCCATCACCTGGATATATATTACCTTATAAAGTCTTGGCTGTGTAAGACCTTGGTCGTGGTACACCTCCATCACCTGGATATACATTACCTTATAAAGTCTTGGCTGTATAAGACCTTGGTCGTGGTACACCTCCATTACCGGGATATGTATTACCTTATAAAGTCTGGGCTATATAAGACCTTGGTCGTGGTACACCTCCATCATCTGGATATGTATTACCTTATAAAGTCTTG